TCAGCCCTGGCCAGTTGGCGCAGCTGGTTGTTTTGGAATTTCTTTCCCAGCCACCTCCACCCCCCTGCACTAGAATTAGCAGCAGCAGAGCAGTGGAAGAGGATTATCACCAATGTGACCACTCTTCCTGTTTCTTGACAGATATTCAGTGTCTGAGGATTTGAATGCCGCCACTATAATTGCAGTGACTTTGGGGGTAGGGCAAGGGACACTTCTTTTAGAGTTGGAAACCCCTAATCCTAAAGTAAGTTTGGGGTCTGTGTCATAGACAAGTCAGTCAGGCCAGAGGTCAGTATAGAATCCGACATGTTGACATTTGTGAGGTTTCCATCTTCCATGGAGCTGCAGGTCCCAGTCCTATTTGCATAACTAACAATTTATTCAGCACAGATGAGAGTCTGTGCCCCAAACTGGCCTCATTCTGATCATTCCCATTGTTTTGTCATCTTTGGAGTCGTCTCTGTAGCCTTTAGCTGATTTATCAATTAAGCAGTGATCGCTGCTCAGGAGGCTTGCCTGTGGCTTCCAGGGGTTCCCTGTAGGCATCAGAGCAGTGAAAAGATGTGCATCTCTTCCCCATATCAAGTCCTTTCCTGTCATTTTAGAGGTAAAACTGTGGTCTTTGGATGTGTCCCTTATTGGACATTATAGGACATTTTCTTTGATACCATGTCACCCCTCTGGGTGGAGCCGCTTCCTGTGACTTGAAGCACAGCAGTTTTTCTCATCTTCCTCCATCTTGTCTGTGCCAACTTGCCACCCTCCCCTGTTTGTGGCTATATGTTCATCACTCTCATTCTTCTCAGTCATCTTCCTCAAGACCCCACTCCTTCCTGGAGAGTATGTGCTGCTTTTCGTTCTGGTTGTTTCCAACTAGTACAGGGAAAGATGGAACAACATGTTGTTCCTAAGGGAGTAGAGCACTGGTGATAACTAACCCATGTGCTCTTCCTTTAAGTTCAGCTCACCTCTCTCTTGAGAAAAGGCTTAGTGAGCTGACTCTGCTCAGCAGTGTCCATGTCATGTAGAAGAGACATCTTGGGGCCACGGGCCTATTATTCTCCCTCCCTCTCTATAGAAGGAGCCCTACTAAGTTTCCTTTCAAAGTCACTTTCCAAAATGAGTTAAATTATTTTTTGATTGACTAAAATTTCAACTAATATAATTTTTCAGGACATCTCATATATAAAGTGAAAGTCTAGGAATCTGCATCTTCTAAACAAAGTATTTAGGACAGTAGTTCTAGTACAATGCAGTCTGTTTTTCCCCCAAGTTAGTATAAAGCCATTTTTTAAATTAGTATATGGTGATGGTTACAATTTCTTCTGTTTTAGGATGCATTTCAGTAATAGACTTTTTAATTTTGTAGTTGTACAGAATTAATTCTGTGGATAATGAGCTAAGACTTTATTCTGAACTTTTAATTTGGGGGTGTGGCTTTTCTGGGACGTTTGTATCACCATGACAATTGTAAACTTTTAAGATTTCTCTTTTTAAGAAAACTTATGTGGTTTTTATTCAAAAAAAAAAGAAAAGAAACATGTGGGGTTTTTTTTTTAAACATCCTTATAACTCCCTAGCTATTGTGACAATTAATCCGGTGCGTGCTCTGTGAAGTGGTAAACCACAGTGTTTCTACTAGTCATAATGTAAGATGTTACCAGGGTGATTTTATAATATAAACTTTGTGTGAAGTTTTGGTAATTTTTCATGAAAGAAATGAAAGTGCTTATTCTAAAATTGTTTTAATGTTTCTCAAGTTAGGTTTCAAGTTGGAGTGTATTCTGGCTCTAACAGTTTTGTGATTATAGATAGAAGAGTTTGATGTGAGTGAGAAAGGTTCAGCGATGATCTTTTCTCTAAAAGTTTGTTGGTATTTTTCAACTCTGCTAAAGCAAATTGTGCTTATTACCACATGTGAGCACTGGGTTTAGGCAATGAAGAAGAAATGTGGATTCAACCTTCTAGTACCTTAAAGTTGGCTTCCATCGTCAGAATATCTACATTAAAAATGATGTGACTATGGTATTACCTGAAGGAACAAGATAGAGACAAGTCACTAGTATTAGCAGTCCTTGAGGAGAGGATCAGTGTTTGCTAGAGGGTGAGGCTTGATGGAGCCAAATTTCAATAAAATAACAATAGAAGAACATTTTCCAAGTATGAACAGTGTCATCACAGCTGATATACCTGTAAGGGCAAGATCTGGCAGGACTCAGAAGCTCCTGTGCAAGTAAGGGTAATTCAAGGAGAGGGGGGACTATTTGTATTGAGATGGTAAGACCTTTGGGGATTGAGACCCATGGAGCATATGCCCTGTGCCACCAAGTCTATGTACTTTCTAGGCAGGGTTTCCCACAGTTGCTCACCTTACCTGGTGCACACATTCCACTGTCTGACTTCTCTCAGTGATGTCTCTATTGAGAGAACCTGCTGGAATTACCTGTGGAGCTAACCTGATGTTTTTTGAAACCCAGACCATTGGTCACCTTTTGGGGCTATGTTGAAATTTTTGGTTTTCTGTTTTCTAGAGATTCTTTAATTAGTGATCTCAAGCTATCCATCCTTTTAGAGATAATCAGATTTACTGAATAATTAGGACTATTCAAAGAGTCTGTATAATCCTAATGTTAGTCCTGGCATCGGACTCAGTCAATTCCAGTTCACAGGGTGGCATGGAGTCGGAGCTGTGTGGACACATGACCAGATTCCCTATTAGAACACATGTTGCCTCATCAGTGAGGTTTTTTTCTACTCCAAGTGTAGTCCTCAGACCTTATACACAGGCACTCCCAGGGGGCTTGTTAGAAATGCAGACACTGGAGCCCATCTCAGGCTCTCTCTATTAGAATGGGCATTTTTAACAAATTCCCAGATCATTGGTATGCAGATGAACAGCTGAGATGCCTTTAACACCTTGAAGGGATTGGGCATCTCTCCTGGAGCTGTTTTAGAAGATTTGAGTCATTATCTGGAGGAAACCATGGGTTTCCTAACTCAGAAACCCACAAGGGCTGTCAGATAGATTCTATAGGGTCAGCCCCAGAGCCAGAATGAACCCGTTTACTGCTGCAGTGTGGTCCTGTTGACAGTGTTCAGCCAGCAGTCCTCCAGCCTATTGCTTGAATACCTCTACTGGCTCATTGCCTGGCCTGGGTAATTGTTCTAATTTTTGGCACCTCTGATGGTTTTAAGCACCTCCCTTTATACTATTGAGTCCAACTCTACCTCCTTAGAACTTCTACTCATAAAGAGTAGCTTCTGAGATGCTCCATTAAGTGTTTGTTGAACAGACTCTGAGAGCTGTTCAGAGATTCTCAGACACCTCTTTTGACAGACAGTGGTGGGGGTGGGGAGCAGAGGAGGCAGTAGAACCTTAATGGCTGAGGGACAGAGCAGTAGGCTTGTCTGTCCCCTAATTTAGGTACCAGACAGTCATTGGTGGTGTATTTGATCAGAATAGTGTAGTCCTTGCTCTTCTAGGAAATATAGTGTTGCCCCCTCCTCTGAGTCATTTGGCTTCTAAAGAAAACCTGTTGGAGAGTTTATGCATTCTTGCTCAGTGGTTGCTTGATGGGAGGCCTGCCACTGAGGCTAGGAAGTTCCGTTTTATCCTGTCTTGCACTGTGCATAAGAGGATGCTGAAAAGGAAGGCAGACCCAGCATAGCACCTGCAAGGCATAGCACCAAGACCAACTCTGCGGAGATGTGTGCAAGCCTGAGTAACTTCCAGCACAACTTTTTCCTAGAAATCTAAGAGGTGACCAGATAGTATTTGCTTTGACTGCTTTGTGGTATGTCTCCCAGCACCCTGACAAAGCTTTGGAAATTAATGTGTCAATTTTCATTGTATTTCAGATTGAGTTCAGTTTTATTCAGAATGATTGGGGACTGAAGTTCCTGGTAAACAATGCAAGTTAGAAGAGTATACTATGCATGCAATCTACAGTAGAACCATCTACTGGCCAGGACACTGGTTTGAAGTCCTGAGACCTAAGTTCTAATCTAACTCCACTCCTGTTGATGGTATAATTTGGGATACGACTCTTAACTTCTCTTATACGCATACTTTGAAATGAGTACTGTAGACAAATTGACCTTTTATGCTTTTCACCTACACTTCACATCTATGGTGTTATTTTGTGATAATGCAAGAAATAGAGGACACATATATGTGATAAGTCAGCTTAGTTGTTTAGGACATGATGTTAATAATGCCAGAATCAAAATCTGAAGCTGAAATGGGTCATTTCTAGTTTTTTTTTCCACAGTCACTTATGTCATCCAGCCTCCATAAAAATGTCTTATTTTAGTTACAAAGTATAGTGGGAAGGAGTCAGTTACCACTATTGAAAATATAACTCCCAGAGTTCCTGCCATAATCTTTATTATTATACTTCATTAAGAATCACTTATTCATATGTTGACTTGTTTATCTGTTATCAGAACTCATGTATATTAGAAGTTAGAAGTTGATTTCTTTTCTTTCTGTCTTTAAAGGAAATAACCCAATGAACATTCCAGCAGGAGGAATAACAGCAGATCAGCAGCCACCAAACTTGATTTCAGAATCAGCTCTTCCAACTTCTGTTGGGGTCACAAAGTAAGACCCATGTTTCATTTGGCTCCTGTTGAAGTGACAGTCATGAAAGTGGGCTGGAAATCATACAAAACTCCATTATTCTTTCTAAATGTGCAGCAGACAAAATAGTTTGGGTGGGCGCATGCTATTTTTCTTTTAAATTTAAATGTACAGCAGATAATAGATATGTTTTCAGTTTTGTTGTATATACGTCAACTGGCTCTTCTAAGTTAAATATTTTAAAAGTCTCGCACGGTTGAAGGCTTTACTTACATGAAGCGCATTTGAGTTACTTCAGTAGGTGGTTGAAGTGTTCTTGTTCTTCTCTCAGCACTATACCGACAGCAGCACCTCCTTCCAGCACTGGTGTTCGGAAAGGCTGGCATGAACATGTCACTGAGGACCTGCGGAGCCATCTAGTGCATAAACTGTATGTTCCTGACCTTACCCACTATTCACTCGTGACAGAAACATTTTGTGGCTAATGTCATTGTGACAATGTTGTGATTTCATCAGCGTCTGATTTAATTCCTGAGTGGTCCCAGGTGACAGTACCTTGGTAGCTGAAGGGGGTCACATCCTTGTTTCGAGAGCCACAGCCACTGCTGGTAGGCCAGAGAATCCTAGACCCTGTATCCCCACAGCAGGCATCATGGCTCTGCCCTGTAGGGGAGCATGAACTGTGACTCATGTCACAGCAGCCAGCACTCCCAATGTAGCCAGATATGTCCTCTGAGCTCTGAGATGCATGAGGGAACTGGGATTATTAACTCAGAAGCTTTCCTTCCTTTTATGGCTCAAGTTTACAGTTGTAGAGACCCCTGAGAGTTGAGGGTATTTGGGCCTAGTGAGTATAGATGGCATCATGCACTCAGTGAACATACAGGAAGTTAATAGTTAACTTTTTTGAGCTGGTTAACTTAAATTGAAGTCAAAGTTAACCAACTTGATTTCCTTTTAGTGTTTTTCTTCATTATTTTAATCAAAAATTTTTGTAGTAAGTCCTGACCGGTGTGGCTCAGTTGGTTGGGTGTGATCCCACAAAGTGAAAGGTCACCAGTTCAATTCATGGTCAGGGCACAAGCCTAGGTTGCAGGTTTGGTTCCCAGTCAGGGTGCATATGAGAGGAAACCAATTGATGTTTCTCTCCCTCTCTTTCTCCCACCTTTCTTCTTTCTCTAAAAATAAATAAATTTTTTAAAAAATTTTAAGTTTTGTAATAGTTAAAAAGTAGGAATTCAAAATCATATTATTATATATTTTTCAAATTTTTTAAAAGGAGGGGCAGAGAAGGAGAAAGGGAGAGAAATAATGTGACAGAGAAACATCGATTGGCTGCCTCTCATATGCACCCTGACTGGGAAAGTCAATACTCAGAAATCAAAGGCATTTTTGTACACCAACAATGAAACATCAGAAGCAGAAATCAAGAAAAAAATCCCATTTGATATAGCAACAAGAAAAATAAAATACCTAGGAATAAACCTAACCAAGGAGGTAAAAGACCTGTACTTACAAAACTACCCAACACTGAAGAAGGAAATCAAGGAAGACACAAACAAATGGAAACATATACCATGTTCATGGATCAGGAGAATTAACATCATCAAAATGTCCATACTCCCCAAAGCAATTTATAGATTCAGTGCAATACCTATTAAAGTACCAATGGCATATTTCACAGACATAGAACAAACACTTCAAAAATTTATATGTAACTGTAAACGACCCTGAATAGCTGCTGCAGTTTTGAGAGAGAAAAGCAAAGTAGGAGGGATCACAATACCTCATACCAAACTATATTACAAGGCCACTGTAATCCAAACAGCCTGGTACTGGCATAAAAACAGGCACATAGACCAGTGGAACAGAACAGAGAGCCCAGAAATAAACCCAAGTCTCTACAGTCAACTAATATTTGACAAAGGGGGCAGCAACATAAAATGGAGTAAAAATAGCCTCTTCAGCAAATGGTGTTGGGCAGCTGGACAGCTGCATGCAAAAAAAATGAAACTCAAGCACCAACTTATGCCATACACAAAAATAAATTCAAGGTGGATAAAAGATTTAAGTATAAGTTATAACACCATTAAAGTTGTAGAGGAGAACATAGGCAGGAAAATCTCAGATATTTCTTGCAACAACATTTTCACTGATATGTCCCCTAGAGCAAGGGGACATAAAGGAAAGAATAAACAAAGGGGATCTCATCAAAATAAAAAGCTTCTGTGTGGCTAAAGAAAACAGTATTAGAATAAAAAGAGAACCAGCCATATGGGAAAACATATTTGCCAATGATACCTCAGACAAGGGTTTAATCTCCAACATATACAAAGAACTTACACATCTCCACTCTAAGAAGACAAGCATCCCAATTAAAAAATGGGCAAAGGACTTGAACAGACACTTCTCCAAGGAGGATGCACAGAGGATCCAGAGACACATGAAAAGATGCTCAGTAGCACTAGCTATCAGAGAGATGCAAATTAAAACCACAATGAGATACCACTTCACACCAGTCAGAATGGCCATCATAAACAAAACAACAAACAACAAGTGTTGGAGAGGTTGTGGAGAAAAGGGAACCCTAGTGCACTGTTGGTGGGAATACAGATTGGTGCAGCCACTGTGGAAAACAGTATGGAATTTTGTCAAAAAATTGTTAAGTAGAACTGCCTTTATTCCCAGCAGTTCCACTGCTAGGATCATATCCTAAGAACCCTGAAACACCAATCCAAAAGAACCTATGCACCCCAGTGTTCATAACAGCACAATTTACAATAGCCTAGTGCTGGAAGCAACCTAGGTGCCCATCAGTAAATGAATGGATCAAAAAAACTATGGCACATTTACACAATGGAATTCTATGCAGCAGAAAGAAAAAAGGAGCTCCTACCCTTTGCGACAGTGTGGATGGAACTGGAAAGCATTATCCTAAGTGAAATAAGCCAGGTGGTGAAAGACAAATACCATATGATCTCACCTTTAACAGGAACCTAATCAACAAAACAAACAAACAAGCAAAATATAACCAAAGACACTGAAATGGAGAACAGGCTGACAATGACCAGAAGGGAGAGGGGAGAGAATTTCGGGGGGAAAGGGGAAGGGTTTGCAAGAACAAGTATAAATAACACATAGACAAAAACAAGGGGAGGGGGTGGAAACGGGAGGGAGGTGGGCTGGGATGGGAGTAAAAGGCAGAAAACTGTACTTGAACAACAATTAAAATAAAAAAATAGAAAAAGTATTTTTAAAGGGAGGGTAGAGAAGGAGAAAGGGAGAGAAATAATGTGAGAGAGTAACATCGATCGGCTGCCTCTCATATGCACCCCGACCATATTCCAAACATGTAGCCCAGGCATGTGACCTGACCAGGAATGGAACCAGCAACCTTTACATTTGTGGGACCACATCCACCCAGCTGAGCCACACCAGTTGGGGCACACAATCACGCTATTTTTTTCCTAAGATTTAGTTTATTTTTTAGAGAGAGGGGAAGGAAGGGAGAAAAACATCAATGTGTGGTTGCTTGCATGGCCCCAACTGGAGACCTGGCCCAAAACCCAGATATGTGCCCTTGCTGGGAATCAACCCACCAACCCTTTGGTTTGCAGGCTGGCACTCCGTCCACTGAGCCACACCAGCCAGGGCAAAATCATACTAGTCTTGAGACGACTGAGCATTTATTATTAATAGCAAAACATTGTTTTGGACTTACAGGTACATCAACAGGTTAGTGTTATCTGTAGGAAATGCTTCATTTGTGGACTCATATCCTAAATAAGAGAGATTGGGGATTTCTCTTAACAGTGTATGGCCCCCATAGGTATGTGACCTTCTCTTTCCATGTCATGTATAAAATGGCAAGATGCTGATGATGTATTGAAAGTGGGTTGATAGATTATGTTGTTTTTTCAGCGTCCAAGCCATCTTCCCAACACCTGACCCTGCAGCCCTGAAGGATCCCCGCATGGAGAACCTAGTGGCGTATGCTAAGAAAGTAGAAGGGGACATGTACGAGTCTGCCAATTGCCTGGTAGGTTGCTCGGCTATATGTGTTCCAGCCAGCACAATACCTATGGTAGACAGGACTGCATCTGTCTGGCTTACTTGTCTGGAAATAGGGAATGTGTTATTTGTGTAGACACATCACTTTGAGGTAGCTGACCAGAGAGAGTTAGCAGATAAGATATGAGGTCCCTTGCATAATTCTCTTACTACCATATCACCACGACAGTGGTAAATGAGGTATACAGAATTGCATTTTATCCATGAGTGTCGTCCATGTCCATGTGGATGTTGGTTATAATGCTTGTACTGTGTCATTGCCAGCACCAGTAAATATCCAAGTAGATGTTCAATTGTGGAATGAAATATAATGTGCATTTAGTATCTTCTGTTAAGTTCTGTAGTGTAACTAGGAATTCATCAAGAATTTGGGCCTTTGGTTTATTAGTTAGAAGTGTTGAATACTTACCTTTGCCAATGTATGTAATTAAAAAAGTTCATCCTCGTTTGTTAGAGCATACAAATCAGATCATTTGATTTTTGCAGTTTTGACTGTATAATATTATATATTATTGCTTTTTAGGATGAATACTATCACTTATTAACAGAGAAAATCGACAAGATACAGAAAGAACGAGAAGAAAAACGGAGGTCACGTTTACAGGAACAATCTTAGGTAACCAGCCAGCCTTACCAACCCCTGGGGCACAGCCCCCTGGGATTCCATAGTCACAACCTGTGAGACCTCCAAGTAAGGCCTTCATTTCATTCTCTTAGCCTGTTTGCTTATTTGTCCTGTGTTGGGGTGTGTTTCTAAGTATGTGGAATTAGGTTCTCAGGTAGCCCACAGTTTGGAGACTGATAGTGGTCATGACTTTGTGCATTCACTTAAGCTTGGACATGGAGCCTCTCTCATGGAGAGGCCCTTTAAAGGGTTTGCTAGCATCAGAGTGCACAGTGCTTTGGGACCTGTTGATTGGTTTTAAGTTTGAAGAACTCAATATAAAATTCCTTATTCCTAAATCAAGGATTATTTTAAATAACCATTTGTTTTCTGCCATTATAGATGGGCCCGGGCCCATCCCCTACTTTCACCTCTGCACTCCCCTCTCAGTTGTAGGTTTGATGGTGCCCACTTCCCAGCCTGCACAGGTCTCCATCAATGTGAAAAGATTCACTTTCCACTGAGGGAGCTGGAGCCAACTATTCCAGGAATAGGGACCCTGGGCCTTGAGTCTGTTCAGATGCTTTCTCAGTCTCTAACATCAGCAGACATGGGGCGGCAGTCCCCTCTCTTCCACGAACTTCTGGGGGTGTCTCGCCCATTCCTCTCTTTTAACACCTTTCATCCCCTACTGGCCCCCCGATCTGTCTCTTAACCTCAGACTCCTCTATCCCCCACCTGACAACATTGCCAGATTCATTGGCCCAGAGCCAGTGCCACCACCTGTCCCTCCCTAAGGAAACACGCCCACCACCCCACCCAACCTGGCAGTCATCTTCGACTCCTCTCCTCTCACACCCCACATTGAATCCACCAGCAAGTCCTGGTGGCTCCACCTTCAGAATCTCTTCTGCACTTGACCGCTGCTCACCTTCTCCATTACCACCCTAGGCAAGTGCCCATCGTCTCTCACCTGGGTGACAGGCACAGTGGGGGATGAAGGTGACTGTGGCCCCCAGGGTGCTTACAGGTGCCAGAAAGGACCCAGACACTGGACACAGCTAATATTCAGTGAGGCAGATGGAAGTTGGTGACCTTTGTTGAAAAGATCAGCACTGAAGTCACGTAGACCTGAGCTGGTAAGGTTCCTGAGCTCCAGTGAGCCCCGATTCCTGGGGAAGCCCCAGCACCATCAGGAGAGAGTCCCTGAGCCCATGCATGCAGCAAGACACAAGTAAAAAAATACATAATACATCTCAAACAATATTAAAACTGTTATTTAAATGTTTATAGATGTGTTTGACCAATATATTATTGAATTGATATTGGCTTTCTGTTGTTAGAGATTTTTCTTGACAAATCCTGAAAACAGGACTCTTCCGTGTGGGGAAGGGAGCCTCTTAATCAGTGTTTAAAAGGGGCAGTGGTATAATGTCATGGTTAAAATCAGGGCTTTCAAATTTAACCTGGGTTCTAAGTTTCTACTCCCTACCAGCTGTGTTGCTTTTGGGAGAGCCCCTTAATCATTTCCAGCCTCAGTTTCCTTATCCATAAAACGGAGCTGATAATACTCTTCCCCTGTTGTTACCCAAACACACTTTTAAAGAAAGGGTGATTGTTAAGACCAGTATGACTCTTCATCTAAAGGGTATCCAGTAGTATTTTTCAAATTTCTTAAAAATAATTTTATTTATTCATTTTTAGATAGAGGGTAAGAGAAGGTGAAAGAAAGGGAGGGAAACATCACTGTGTGGTTGCCTCTCGAGTGCCCCCTACTGGAGACCTGGCCTGCAACCCAGGCATGTGCTCTGACAGGGAATCAAACTGGCGACCCTTTAGTTCGCAGCCCTGCGCTCACTCCACTGAGCTACACCAGCCAGGGCTCCAGTAGTATTTTTAAAACACCTCACGTTTATTGAATACTTACTGTGTGCCGGGCAATTTTTAGAAAGTACTATTTCATTTAATCATCACACAGCCGTGGAACATGGGTTCTATTTATCATGCCAGTTTATGGAAGTGGCAACTGAGGCCCAGAGAGGTTAAGGAACTGGCTCATTGCCACACAGTCAATAAATGGCTGAGGCAGGGCTAATGTCCAGCTGTGTGGCTTCAGGGTCTGAGTGTTGACCACAGCCTCTCAAATAAAGGAGAAGCCATTGTTTAAGATAGACCCAGAGTCTAAGAGGGGTCTGGCAAGGCCATTGGGAAAGGCCAGCCCTGCAGGGTGGTCTAAAGAAACAGAACCCCACGTCCTTACTGACAAGCAGCTGACCTGGAGGAACAGCATTTTTCCTGTCTCTGCTAACAAATAGCATTAATAATAGTAATAATTGGACTTAACATCTTGAATGCTTGTGAGATGCCAGGTGCTATACCCTCTAACCCAGGATCTTTTGAAGTAGATGCTGTGTCTGTCCCCACTTTACAGATGAGGAAGCTAAGGCACAGAGAAACTAGGTCACTTGCCCACAGTGACACAGCTGTGATGAGCTGGCACTGGCCCCCACGTGGCTCCCCACTGGTGCTCCCACCCACCCTCACACCCACACAAACCAGCGTCAGACGGCAAGGCGCTTGGAGGGAGGCGGCTGCATATTTTGCCTTGCCCAGAAATGTCAGTGCGTCACCATCACACAAAGTCCTGGCTGTTTGCTCCTGTGGTTCCTGGGGTGCTCTTGACAAGTGTCCCCTCACGCAGGCTGAGGGGGAGGGGCAGGAATGGGAAGCAGGTTCAAAGCGCACAATTAAAATTCCTGAACAACTATGTGGGGTCCTTCTATTCCTCTCCTAAAAACATGCAGAACATTCTTGGTCTCCATATTGGGCTGGGGGCTGGGCTTTAAGCCTCTTGCTGCACCTTCTCTGGTCCCATGTGACCACAGAAGGGCTCCCAGCTGGAATTCTCTGTGTCCCAGAAACAGCCAGTCCTTCCCTCCTCCCCACCCAACTATGCTGCTTGGGATTCCTGGCGCTCCTCTGGGGGCAGGCATGGGTGTGGGCACCCAGGGGGAGCAAAGCCCAGGATACCCTGAGCAGGGGGCCTCCAAGGGGCTGCTGGCCCGGCCCTTCCTCTGCCACACGCCTGTCGAGTTTGGGCCTGGCAGGGTGTGTGCACGCATGTGCCTGTGTGTGCACACGTGTGACTCCTGGGAGGAGGGCAGCTCCAAGCTGTTAGTGGTCTCAGAAGATAAGGGAGACCCCTCAGCTGTAGAAGTGAGTCATAGAACTGGCCTTCCAAGGGGTGTGTGGCCTCCTGTCTTGATAGGGGGTCATCCTGATGGGGAGCCAAGAAGCAGATCAGAGAACCCTCATTTCCTAGCAAGGAAGGACCATAAGGAGGGACTCCCTCTCGGGTTCTCCACACTTCTAAGGGCCTGAGGGCAGTAAGGTATGGGGAGTGACTGCTTAACAGTCTCCTTCAGGAGTGATGAAAATGTTTCAGAACTAGATAAGGTGATGGTCACACCACATGGTGAATGCACTAAATGCCTCTGAGCTGTATGCTTTAAATAATTAGTTTGTGAATTTCGCTTCAATTTTTAGAAAAGGGAAAAGAGAACCACTGTAGCTGGTGCAGCCCAACCCATTCCCTTCCAGCCTGTTCTACCTAAGTAAACATCTGTGTGAGCTCTGACGCATTTCCACAAGATAATAGAAAATGTACTGATTGAAAAGTTAGAAAATATTTTGAAAATGTATGTAATAAACTGAAACATAAACACAAATATAGGGAAGCCCTTGGGCCCGGGGACCTGTGAGTACAGGGACCACACAATCACAGGGTCCATACAGCAGGCACCCGGGGTCCTCACTACATTTTGCTCCTCGTTTGCCTTCCCGCACAGGTGAGGTGGGTGGCTTTCTCCTTCTTTGTGAGTCAACATGAGGGTTAAAAGCACCCACTGCCAGGGGTGTGCAGCCACTCTGCCCGAGTTTAATCCGGGCACTGCAGCTCACTCTCTGGGTGATTGTAAGGAACTCAGTTTTCTCATCAGTAATGTGGGGACAATGATAATAGTCTCTGCTGACAGGGCTTTAGCCTGTTCTTTGGGATAGTGTCTGTAAAGTACAGGCTGCAGAGACTGGCAACAGCAGGGGTTTGCAAGCGGCTCATGATGGTTAGGCTGGCCCTGCTTGCCCAGTATGTGTTAGTGACCCCCGCCACCAAGCACAGAGCTCCAGGCCAGGGGGGACCCTTCAGAGGTCTTGCCAGCTCAGGACTCGCTGAGCCACACAGTAGCAAAAAGGCAGAGTGGGCTCGGTGACAGAGGTCCTCACGGAGGCCCCTGGAATGAGAGAGAGTTGGAGGTCTCCAGGAGGGAAATGAGGGGAGTGACCCATCCCTAAAATAGAAGAATGCAGAAGGCGCTGGTGGAATATGCCCCTCTCCCCATACGCTCTCCTCACCCTCGTTTCTCATAAACCCAGTGGACTTGGCTTTTCTCAGTAATGGATCCAGGAGTGTTTTTTTCATCAGGTCACAGAATGGGGGTCATTTTGCCCCTTCCCTCCACCTTCTTGGATTCCAGGAATTGGTCCAGAAGCTTTAAATCTAGTCAAAGAGATAAAGATGTTGGGGGGTTGTGGGAAGGGTGAAGGCGCATCTGGGTTATAGGGGCTGGAGGCCTGGCTTCTGTGGAGGTTGGGAGACTGCAGATCAAGAATTCCCCATGTGGCCAGGCCTGGCCTTCTGGCCCCGCCTTCCGGTCCCGCCCCTCAGGGTTATCTGCAAAGGAATGCAATCTGTAACCCCGCCTACGAGCCAGGCCCTGCTCCCCAAGCTCCTGAGTGCAGTAGGGGAACCTGGCTAGCATTGCCGCACCTTCCCCCACTGCCTCCCTACCCACTAGCCTCTGCAGGACTGCGGAGGCGCTGAGGACCCCCCTGCTCTCCATCTGTCAGCTAGACTGCAGTGCTGCAGGCTGATTGTTGGTGGTGGGGGAATGGGCTCAGTCAGGCAGAGAGATGAGGAGAGTCCCCTGAGGGGATGAACGTCTGCTCTTCTGCATTCCCTTGCGGGGTCTGTTAGCATCTTGGCAGGTGACTCTAGAGGGCAGGGCAGGTGGGTGGAATGTGTGCGCGTGTGTGTGGTGGGGGCGGGGGGGCTGGCACTGCTAAGGGGTGGAGGAAACAGGGTGGGTCTTGGCAGTGGGACTAGAAAACAAGATTCTCTCTGGAGCTGCCCACCGGCTGTTAAGCCTGAGGGGATGCAGAGGTGGGCACAGCCAGCAGGAGTGTGTCTGCCAAGGTGGGCCTCCAGGCTACCTAGGCTCCTGCTCCTCCCCTGCCAAGGCCCCACAGAAGGAGGCAGTTGGGAAAGAAGCCTGATTCTGCCAAAATCTGGCCCAGGGCCTGTTAGGCTCAGTGTGTGTTTCTGCTAATGAAAAATCTTTTCAAAGCACCAATTATGTCAACTCCTCTTGCACAAAAACCCTTCCAAGGCACCCCAGTGCTCTTAGGGTACCCCTAGCCCCAAATTTAACTCTTGTCCAACTCTTCAGCTTCCCGTCTCTCCTGAGCGCCAGCTGTACCAATTTCTACCTTCCAACCCAGGGCCTTTGCATGTGCTGATCCCTCTCCAGGAGCACGAGTCCCTCCCCTCTTCACCAGGTCAACAGCCTTGCGATTTAGCTGCTGGCTCTCAGTTTCCCAGGAAAGCCTTACCTGACTTCTCTGACCAGTCCTCTCAGCTTCCTTTTCCTTCTCAGTAAGTAACTCTTTTTACCCACTCCCCTATTCCTTGGGGATATGTTTCCAAACTCCTTTGATAATAATAATCATGTAAAAACCACTTTTTAAAATGCAGATTCCTGCCCTGGCTGGTGTGCACTCTGGATTGAGTACCAGACTGGGAAACGATGGGCTGCATGTTCGATTCCCAGTTGGGGCACAGGCCTGGGTTGTAGGTCAGGTCCTCATTAGGGGGAGTGTGAGGGGCAACCGCACATTAATGTTTCTCTTCCTTTCTTTCTCTCTCCCTTCTCCTCTCTCTAAAAATAAATAAATAAGTCTTTTTAAAAAAGTTTAAAATGCAGATTCCTGGGCCCCCTTTCAGCCTGTAGAATCAGAAACTCCAGGAGAGGGGTCTGGCACTCTTTAAGGAGCCCTTTGGATGATTCTGTCCATTACCGTGGGTGGTGGCTGATAGATGCTTGTATCCACCCCCCGCCCCCCCCACACACGGTCTTTTTCCCTGCAACTCTACCTCTAACACAGTGTCTGACACATGATAGGGCTCAAAACAGTATTTGTTAAACAAATGGATGACTGTAGAATGAATAGAATTAGTTCCAGCGACTAACTTTAATTCTATGCTGAGTGTATTTATTACCCTGACTACACATGGCCTGTAGAATCCAAAATGGGCTGATGTGTCCCGGGAAGTCTAGCTGAGAGTAAACAGGGTATTAATAAAACTCAAGCTGGGATGTGACACAGAGGTGAGTTGGGAAGGGGACCCTGCCTGTGCTGTGAACCAGAGCAGAGGGCAGAAGAGTTCTGGAAACCCTCCTGAAGTCGCTTAGCCCACCCCCTTCTCTGGGAAGGCACCTGCCCCCCAAAGCAGGTAGGGACAGAGGGACTGTTTACACCTGTGGGAGCTGAGGGCCCAGGGAGAGGACAGAGTAAAAACAACAACAACAACAATAACCATGGTAAATTAAGATGCTTAATGGTAATTAAGGCACCTCTGTAATTCTAGGCCCTGTTCTGAGATTACACACATTAGCTCATGCAATCTACTAGCTCTTTGGGCAAAGACAGTACCTCTCCTGCCCTGTACCCCCTTTCCCTCTGTTCCCTCCCCCTCAATTCTCACCAAGCATTAAACAATGAATTGGAACAGCTCTAGCCCTCCTTCCACCCTGCTGTGCCCTGGATTTCAAACAGCCCCCCATTCCCTGACAATCTCTACAAACAAGAACTGCAGGCATGCCTGCCCTTCACACCATTCTCTTGATTTTGGGGTTCTGAGAAACATCACTGCTACCCTCAAGTAGGTGGTAGGGGACTCCTCTGTCTGATGCAAGAGTGTAGGGGTGAGGAGAGGAAGGATTGGGGTGCAGCACAGGGAGCCAGCCCCACCCTGGCTCTCCTCCCTTCTGGCTTCCCACCCTGCAGCCAGCACCCACAAGGCTGCAGCTGGCAATTCAGGATTTTGAACTTGGCCCAATGCCTGCAAGGTTCATTTCTGAGGGGGCAGAGAATGGAAACAGAGGGTAGGAGGAGCCAGAGCTTTCCCCATGCCCTGCCCTGGCTGGGATGGACAGTATCTTTGAGATCAAAACCCAGCTGGCCCACACCCAGGCCTCTGGTGCATCCCTCCCCTTTGAGGAGGGAGGGGAGGGATGAGGATGCAAAATAGGGGTGGGTGGGAGAGGGCCCAAGTTGAGGGTGGCTTGCTCTGCAGTCACTGGGCCCCCAGTGAGTTACTATCAGGCCCCACCCCCCAGGAAACAAAGGACGTGTTTCAGGGCTGGGTGGGCTGTGCTGACAGTAAAATCTTGTTTGCCCGCTGCCCACACTCAGTAGGAATCGCCTGTGTGGCAGGGCTGCCACTTACGCCAATGCCCCTGCAGTTGGCTCCCTTTCCCTTTCCTGACTGCGCCTCTGTGTCCCTGGGGCATTGAGGGCCTTGGGATGGTGAGCTTTGGGACAGGGTAGGAGGGATCAGGCTGAGCCAGAGCACCTGGACTCTGCCAGGACAAAGGGGTAAAAAGCTCTGAAGTCTCTCCAGACTGCACATGGCCAACTGACTGATGCAAGGGTGGGGAGTGCGTAGACAGGCTGGAACTTGTTCCTGCCCAGGGCTCCCTGGAGCAGGCGTCCCCCTGAAACCAGGAATTCTCAGCCTGCTCTTGAGTGAGGCTCTTGGAAACAGTCTTAACTCTACCCTTCCCCTTTCCAAACCTGGCCCCCAGCTCCAGTGGGTCCGGAAAGGAAGCCCCCTGGAAGTTCTGGGTCCAGGACTTCAAAAGAAAACAGGCAGCAAAGCATTTCTTTGGCAAGGGGTACACCTGTGCTGGGGTTCTGTGGGTCCACCGGGGTGAGGTGCGTTCACATCCAGGAGGTCAGGGTGTTCCTGACTCAGGTTGGCTAGAGCAGGCTGGGCAGGGGAGGGGAGGGTGGGCTGGTGTTTTGGATTCTGACTTTGCCCTTGTGGTCTGTGGGTCTTAAGCAGAGCTGGCTTTGTGGGCATGTGGCCTGTGAAGTCCCAAAGGCTCTTGAGTTCAGAAAGGCCCTGCACTGTAGTTCGTGCTCTGCTAGAGCCATTTTGAAATTCATAACAATGTTGAACAAGGGGCTGTGCATTTTCACTTTGCACAGGACCTGGGTAATGATGGGGATTACATAACTGATCCTGGTCTTAACACCCGAGGAAAAAGTGGTGGCTCTAGAGTTTCTACTTGGGGGAAAAGCTTCTAAGTTAAAAGCTGGTTGGAAGTGAAAGCTGGGCAACTTGTCCTGAAGCCACACTTGAATAATAATAGTAATAATAATAATAACAAAGCAGCACACTCTTACAGTGCTAACTATGTGCTGGTCACTATTCTAAGTGCTTTATATGAATTAGCTCATTTAATCCTCATAATGTCTCTATATGGTCAGAACTATTATACCCCCATTTTACAGAAGGGGAAAACTGAGGCCGAGTGAGTGGCCTGATCATTCCTGGGCAGTTTGGCTCCACAGCCCTTCACCTTGTGCTGGAGCTCCCCTTCATTTACACTGGGTTGGCCAAAAAGTGTATATGGGTTTTTTTTTTTCTGTAAAAGACACATTTTTTCATTTTCACCAGTCTCTTTATTGATTTGGGTATTTTGTGCTATCTTTTCTATCTCCACATGGTATGATGTTGATTGTCCTCAATTAATGTCTCGACCGGATTGCTGTCAACTTCAACCAGTCTACCTGACTATGGAGCATCGTCTGGCAGGAAATCTCCAGCACAAAACTTCGCAAACAACTGTGACACGTTTGAGCAATTGCAGCACCCTCTCCAGACACTATACAATTTTGTGTGTGTTTCAGTTGTGTTTTTACCTTTCTTGAAATAATAAAGAATAATATGCCAAAAATGTTGCTTATTTTCTTCTACCTTCAATATTAAAATGGTTGCACAAGAACTCACCAATTTTGGTAAGTTTTATTTTAAATGCATGCTGAGATGACAGGTGTCACAACACAATCTAATAGAATTGTTTCAAATGAAGTTAAAGACAACTGAGCACTACTAGAGCCATCTTATGAAAAAAGACAAACGAACTTTTTGGCCAACCCAATATTTAAAGTTGGTTTCTCGTACACAACAGAGTTAGGTCTTGTGCTTTTATCCGTTTGGGCAGGCTCCCTTTTCTAGTTGGTGTACTGACACCATTCACATTTAATATCAGGATATAGTTGAATTAATATCTACCATGTTTGTAACTATTCTGTAGTCAGTGCAGCTGTTCTTCCTTTTTAAATCTTCCCTCTTCTCTGTTTTTAATTGTTTTCTGTTTTTTATTGTTTTATATGATTCCATTTTTTTATCCTCTCTTTGCCTATCAATTATACTTCCAAAATCTTTGTAGTGGTTGCCCTAGAGGTTTTACAATGTGCACTTACAACTAATCTAAGTCCACTTTCAAATAGCACTATCCTACTTCACAGAACCTTCCTAATTCCCCGCTCCTCTCCCTTACCCTATGGCTGCAATTCATTTCTCTGCAATCACCCAACACATTACTGCTGTTCTCTGTCATTTATTGCACTATTCATTTCCTGAGTCCTCACAAAGAAGTTGTGAAGTGGGGTTGTCCTCATCTCATTTTACAGGGGGTATCTATAAAGGCACAAATGTTTAACGAGTTGCCCAGGTCACAGCTATTAGGACCAGGCCCGCCCAGCAGGAGGTGAGCTTGAATCATCCTGAAGCCATCCCTCCTTCCCCCTCACCCCCCAGGCTGTGGAAAAATGGTCTTTCAAGAAGCTGATCCCTGATGCCAAAAATGTTGGAGACCGCTGATCTATTTTATGTCATCCAATGGAGCAAAAAATTTTAAGACTTTTATTATTTTATATGGTGTTTTCATTACCTGTTGTTCTGGTCAATGTATTATTATGGGAGGGGGGCGGCTTTGGAGGGGCCAATGGAGATGGGGAGCCAGCAAAAGAATTTGGGTTCTAGTCTCATCTGTTGACTCCTCCTCAAGTCCCCCCCCTCCCCAACTTAGAGTGCGAGAGAGGAGCCTGCGGTGCCTGTCCTGTGGTGTCAAGTACTCAGAGCTGGGCCATCCTATGCAGAAAAATGGGGGGCTGCTCTTCTAGAAGGTTAACACTCTGGCCTGTGTTGCAAAACCTCTCTGCCTCTGGATTTTCAGGCTGTTCCCTGGTGGCCCAGGGGTTGCCCCTCGGTCCTTGGAGAGAGGCCAGAGAGGGATTCTGGGGACCCTCCCTGCAGGAGCCAGACTTCCTGAGCCAGCTGGGCAGTGCCATTCTCTGGGGCGGACAGGAAAGAGCCACTTTCTGTTTGTGAACAGTGACCACACCCTGCTGGCATCCTTCCTTCCTCCGCCCTCCCTGAGCTGCGCCCCCTTGGCAGGGAGAAGGAACTTGGCCAAGGGTCCTGGGGGCAGGAGTGGGCAAGACTGTTCTCCCCAAGCTTATTGGGCTGATTTACCAGGCCAGAGGGGATCCCCCTGAAAGGGTTTCTGGAGTTCTGGGATAGACACAACCTTAGCTGATCTTTGAGGGGGAAACCATGCTCAAACAGAGGGGACCTGAGAATCCCCCACAAATGCCCGTGGAGCTGGGGCTGTGGGGGTACCCAGTGACAGGCCAGGAGAGTACACATTATGGTAAGGCATCTTTTTGTTTGACAATCATTTGTTCTTCCTTCTGTCTCCAACACCTCAATTTCCCTTTGAGGAACCACCCTCCCACCTTTTCGGTGACCTCTCCCCTCTGGAAGATCAAACCTGGCCAGTCCCAGCTACCATGTTGGTTCAAGGTGCCCACTGAGTCAGCCCTGGGGCTTTTGCTGGGACTCTGAGAAGAGAAGACTTCTATTTGCTGAGCTTTTTGAGCTGGTCAGATATAAACTTGGAGCTGCTGGTAGCCAACTTGCCTGCCAACAGAAGGAATACTGAGCCGAAAGATGAATTTTTAAGTGGCATTTCAAATTAGTGAGGAAAGAATGAATTATTCAGTAAATGGGACAATTGGCTATACATGTAGAAGAAAATTAACTCAGATCCCCTCCTCCCATCACACACAGAAAGGGATTCCAGTTGGATGAAAGAAAAAAAAGATTAGAAAGTGAATATAGTAGAAGAAAATGCAAGATAATACTTTTTCTTAAGTTTGGGAGTGAACAAAAAATCTTCCTTGTCATGACACAAAATCCAGAAGCCACAAAAGCTATGCACAGACGGGCTGCCTAAAACAGAAACCTGTGCAGCCAAAGGTACGACAGAAAAAGTTGAAAGGCCAATTATTGCAATTGACAGATGTAAATACCCCTCATTACAAAGAGGTCTGGCAATCAATAGGATAAAAGGAAAACCACTTGAACCCACATTGGGCAAAGGACATGAGCAAGCAAATGACAGAAGAGCAGTCAGCCAGACCATTGTTCACTCCTAGAAGCACCCATCAAAAGAAGCACTTGAGGGAAGGGATTAGAAATGATGTCATGTATGAACTGCTGAAGAAATGGAGAATATTTAGCCTGGAAGGAAATGAAGCAAAGCAGCACTGTCCAATCAATTATAATGCCAGACACATATGCAACTTTAAATCTTCTAACAGACACTTTTAAGGAAAGCAAAAGAGAAACTGGTGAGATGAATTTTATTAATATATTTTATTTAATTAAGATAGTGTCATTTCAACATGTGATCAATGTAAAAAATTATTTTTGGGTTTTGGTCCTGCCTCTTGGAAATCTGGTGTGTATCTTATACTGAAGGCCCATCTGAATTTAGCAGCCACGTTTGCAGTGCTGGGCAGTCATAAAACTGTTAGCGCTGTATTGAGCACCCTGTTAAAGGCTACGAGAATGGATCACAGAGCCGGGGCCCTGTCCTAGCTTTTCCATTTCTCCATAGCTAAATGGCTTCCTCATTGGCTAGCTGTGTGACCTTTTCAAGTTTCCATGTCTGCATTTGAAAAATGGCACTAAAGGACCGTGTAGGTTTTAAATGGAATCCACGTCATCCAGCTCACTGGCTGGCACAGAGTTAAGAGCATAACAGATGTTTATCTGTAGTTACTAATAATTACCAAGCAGCAGATAAGTCTGTAAGCACAGTGGACAAAACAAAGGCCAACATGTAAAACATGGTAGGATGTTATATGTTAATTCAGTGTAAGAAAAAATACTTCACAACTGAGAGCTGCCCTGTCCAATACGACAGCTGCCAGCTAGCCCCATGTGGCCAGGGAGGACCAAAGTGACGAGTCTGACTGAGAAATGCTGACATGTAAAATACACACCAGATCTCCAAGACTTAGTGCAGAAAGCAGAATGTAAAACATCTCCTTAAAATTTTTAATGTTGATTGCATGCTGAAAAGATCAGATTTTAGACAGACTGGGTTAAAAATATTAAAATTAAATTTATTTGTTTCTTTTTACTTTAAATAACTGTAAGTCATTCATATTATGGTTCTGTTGGATAGCACTGATTGAGAACTCTGCAACAATGGAATAGAATGCTTTGTTGAGTAGTGAGTTCCCCATCCTGAGAGTGTTTCATGCTGAGGATAAATGATCAGAAAGCAGGGAGGGTGAATGACGACTGCAGAGTTGGCGATTTGTGGGTTTCTTTAGTCTGGGTCTCCTACTCATGCAGGGTCTTCTGGGTTTGCAGCTAAGTATGTGGCTGGGAGGCAGCTGACTGTCTGCCTGGAGGTGGCCTAGAAAGCAGCCCTCACTCCCAGGCAGCAGCTTGCAGCTCTTCCAAACAGGAGTCTAGCGTGACGTACTATTGGCCCAGGGGGCAGCGTCTGGCCGTCTGTGTCCTTGTCTCTTAGCGTCTAGGGTCAGCTTTGTGAGTTCTTCATTCTCTCCTGCTTCCAGACAGTGTGTAGAGGGAGGGTCCCCCATGGCTGTCTGCTCAGCCCAGATCCTGGGCAAAACTCCACAAGGGAAGCTTTTGGCTGCATAGATGTGTGGAGGATCCCTTGGAATAAGTATTTGAGCAGATGTGAGGCTGGAACAGCTGTTTCCTCACCCCAGCAGCCAGACGGCTTCCTCCTTGCAGCCTGTCTCTCTCCCAGGAAGCAATCCCACAACCTCGTGTGGGCTTGCCTGATGCAAGCCAGGCAACCAAGAACTGGCGTGAGGCTCCAAGTCTGTGTTCCAGCCCTCATCTTCTCTGTTATCATGAGACCTCAGGCAAGTCTCTTCCTCTCTCTGGGCCTCAGTTTGCTCATTTATCAAACAAGGGAGGGGGATGCCAAATGGCCCTTCCAGTTCTTACATTCAGGCATCATTTGATTCATCAACGTCAGCTCCTCACAGCTCCTGTCTGTGGCATCTCTTATTTTTCATTGCTGAGTCTTATCTGTCCCAACTTAATGGCAAAGATGACGGCAATAATAATAAACCACAGTAGCATTTGTCGGTTTCTCTTTTACGTGCACTAAACTTACTCAATCCTCCCAACCACCTTATGCGATAGGGACCATTATGTCCATTTTATGAATGTAGAAAGTGGCAAACTCTGAGCCCTTTATATTAGTCTGCTCAGGCCGCCATAACAAAGTGCTACAGATGGGTAACTTAACAGAAATTGATTTTCTCACAATTCTGGAGGCTAGAAGTCCAAAATCAGGGTGTTGAAGGTGTTGGCAGGTTTGGTTCCTTCTGAGGCCTCTCTTAATTTTTTTCTTTTAATCCTCACCTGAGGATACGTTTTATTGATTTGAGAGAGTTAGAGAGAAACATCAGTGTCTCATCAGAGTGAGAGAGAAACGTTGATTGGTTACTTCCTGCACTGACCAGGGATGGACCCCGCAACCTCGGTGTGTGCTCTGACTGGAAATCGGAACCATAAGCTTGTGGTGTGTGGGATGATGCTCCAACCTACTGA